TTCGCTTTTTTTCATTGTTGTTATTTCATGTCTAATTAGAACCATTAGATCTGTGCTGTGTATATTCAATTTAAATTAATTAAGATGAAATATTATTAAACATTCAGTTACTCAGCTACCCCAGCCACATTGCAATTATTTTATACCCACATGTAGCTCACAGTTATAGTGTTGGACAGCAGAAATTTGAAACATGGAAAGCTTTATTGGATGGCGTGGTACTGGATTGTACACTTCTTTAAAGGAAGAGGCCATATCATTTAAACTAATAATATTCAGAAATTAATAAAATGATAAATATAAAAGAGGTGTATTTTGGTGGTGGTGCAGGCAAGGAGCAAGGGCAGGATTGTTTGGCAGATGGACACAGAGCTTCTTGTGACCGAAAGTGTGCTTTGTTATACTTGAGAAGATTGCATTCAACTCTAATAGAGGCATGGATGTTATATCTGCTTCGATAAATAAAGATATCAGGATTCACTATAAGCATGTAAAACACATATAACATACAACTCAAATTTTAACAAAGGAGGTCATGAAGAAAATGGATCAGACTTTTTTCAGTCAGTCTAAATATCCATAATACTTAGTCTACATTGCTATTCAAAATTCTTCTGAAAGATTGTTTTAATGGGCTTGATATGTACTTTTAAAGAAATATTATATTCTAAAAACACATAGTCTAAGAAGTCTAAGAAATTCTGCACTAGTACTAAAAAAGTGAGCAGTTTTATTTTTTGCTAGTACAATGAAAAAAGTTACAAGCAGTTGAGCTTGGGAAATAATACATACAATTAAGGGTTTGGTAGACTATACTTCCTCCTTTTCTAAATCTACAACCATGTAGAGCCATAAAATTTTGTGCAATACGTATAGTTGTCTTCAATTTTAGGATTTGTCCATAAAGTTTCATGGATATTCTGCAGGGGAACAGGCCTGGTACAGAGGAAGGAGCATCGACTTTGGAATCAGATTACCGGGGCTTTTAAGTCCCAACCCTGCCCCGACAGAGTGTTGTCTTGTGCTGATTACTTAACTGCTCCAAATCTGTTTCCTCACTGTAGGATGGGACCACTAATACTTACCATGTAAGTTTGCTGTGAAGTCCATGAAAATGATCATGCAAGTGACCTGTCTGGCATGCCCAATATCTGTCCTTTCAAAAATGAATTCAAAACCTACCTATTTTCTTCCTAGTGAACCTTTCATAGTATCTTACCACCTGATTATAGACAAATAATCTGAGATTCCATATTTGATTCTCATTTTTTTTAAATTTTTGAGCCAGTGTCTTTGTCACACTGGCTACAGTGTAGTGTCCTCATCATAGCTCACTGCAGCCTCAAACTCCTGGGTCCAACCAATGCTTCCAAGTAGGGAGGACTACAGGCATAAGATACCACACCTGACTGATTTCTTTTTTCATGGTTTGTAGAGGTGGGGTCATGTACTTATGCAGGCTGTTCTCCAATGGTTAACCTCAAGTGATCCTCTCACCTTAGCCATTTTTTTTTT